AAAATAATAAAATAAAACATTATAAAATAATTCTCACGACGTTTCGGCCACAACGCAAGCAGCCGAAACGTCGTGAGAATTATTTTATTATGTTTTATTTTTATTATTTTATTACTTCCATTCTACGTGACTTTACCGAAAGAACCAAGAAGATGAATCCCTGCAGCCACGAAAGCTTTAAATCGAGATGTTGAGATTGTTGCTGATGGCTATGATCATGATGATGACGGCAATAATGATGACAATGCTGCCTGCTGTTGTTGATGATGATGCACTGTGATCACTGTATGAACGTGACCAACCCCTAGACCTTTGCACCGCGACTCAGGGTCCGCGTAAACACCATCGCTGTCATTATTCTTTGGTTCTTTCGGTTAAGTGACGTCTAAAGATAAAATAATACATAAAATAATAACATATTACGACGTTTCGATTGCAACACAAGCAATCATCATCAGGCATAAAATAAATAGCAACAAAAATCTAACTAGAAAACTATAGACAGACATACAAGCAGACAGACATCATGATGATTGCTTGTGTTGCAATCGAAACGTCGTAGTATGCTATTATTTAATTTATTATTTTATCTTTAGACGTCACTTAACCGAAAGAACCAAAGAATAATTCCTTGCAGTCACGAAAACTCTAAAATTAAGATTCAACCATCGCTGTTAGCCAGCCAGCCGCTCCACCACCCGAGAAACAGGAGCTCCCGTCACAGCAATGTGGAATTGACAAGAAAAACGGCAGCTTCCAGAGAGACTACAATGCGGGTTCCTCGGACGTACCGGGCTCTGCCACGTGAATGTCGAATTGCAAAGGTTTCGAAACGCGTTGGGAGACGTCCACTGTAGTTGTTCTATGGCGCACTGACCCACGGCATGGGAATGTGGAATTTCCACCACTGGCTCAAACAGAGCCGCGAAAAACTCGTTTGAGCAGAAATACTCTTTGGTGTGTTTTTATTCGGTTGCAATTGAATGAGTACGTCATCTTGCCAGTTAACATCACCATCATCAGCCCGATTATGATCATCATCAGCACCAGTGGTATTGGCACCATCGTTACGTTCATCATCATCATCAGCAGCAGCAGCGTAATCACATCATCATCACGTTCATCATCGTCATCAACACGATAATTATCATCACATTCGTCATCATCATCAGCAGCGTCATTATCACATCATCACAATCATTATCATCATCATCAAACATGCCATGATCATCAGCACTAGCATAATATTCATGACCATGTTGCATCGTGTCCATCTTCATCCATCACTCACAATCATAATCATCATCATCAGCAGCAGCAGCAGTATAAATCATCGTTAACACATTCAGCATCACCACTCCCATCGTCTAGTCGCAAGATGGGTCACGAACATCGGCTTTTGTCTATAACCCGGGCCCCTGTCATAGGAACGTCGATTTGCCATCGTCAAAACTTCCCAACGCTCTCGTCCGTGCACAGATTGAAGCGTCCGTTAAACATCCACGACGAAGAGAGGGGGGGGGGGGAGAATGACGGACGGAATGTCATTGCCTGTTACAGGATAACCGGCCGCTTCACGAATCATTGCCCGAGGTCGAATCAACCAGGCAATGCGTCAACAGTGTGTTCGCCGACTCTCCTCTGCGTTGCATTACATTTCCAAAAAATGTGCTAAGTTAGTTTTCTAAAACTGCCTATTTCTCTCTCTAAAAGTTTACCAGGCGCTCTCATAGGTCCATTCGCTCTTTTTCTCTAACCCGGCCGCTTCGGGGTGGATCTCCACACAACTTTTTCAAAAAAAATGTACCAGACATGCTGGGTCTTTCTCTCTCCCATGCCGCCGCGGGGTGGATTTCCACACAGATAATTTATCGGGGCCCACCTTGGCTACTCCCACCCTGAACCAGTATATATACACGGACTGTTTTCTTGGAATTTCTCTCACTTGATACAGCTATCGTGCTGTGACGGTTCCACCTGAAGACGGAAGCTTGTGTTGCCTCCGAAACGTCGTGATTTTTATTTTACTTTTATTAATTAAATTTTTTACCTACGTGACTTTACCGAAAAAAACCTAAGAATATGAATCCTTGCAGTCACGAAAGCTTCAAATCTAGAATTTATTTATCTGCTCCAGCAGACCCACCTCTCTCTCTATTCAAGGCCGAGGTCGGATAGGTATCGAAGTCTCCGCGCATTTTTCAAAGCGACGTAGACATCTCATGACCTTAATGATTACAATGGCCACATTAATGAACACGTGACATTTGTAGCGCTAAGCGAGAGACTGCTCACACGACGTAAACACATACGTGTGTGTGTGTGTCTGTGTGTGTGTCTGTGTGTGTCTGTGTGTGTGTCTGTGTGTGTGTGTGTCTGTGTGTGTGTGTCTGTGTGTGTGTCTGTGTGTGTCTGTGTGTGTCTGTGTGTGTGTCTGTGTGTGTGTATAGTGATTGTGTGTCTGTGTGTCTGTGTGTGTGTCTGTGTGTGTGTGTCTGTGTGTGTGTCTGTGTGTGTGTGTCTGTGTGTGTCTGTGTGTGTGTGTCTGTGTGTGTGTGTCTGTGTGTGTGTCTGTGTGTGTGTGTGTCTGTGTGTGTGTGTCTGTGTGTGCGTGTGTGTCTGTGTGTGTCTCTGTGTGTGTCTGTGTGTGTGTGTCTGTGTGTGTGTGTCTGTGTGTGTGTCTGTGTGTGTGTGTCTGTGTGTGTGTGTCTGTCTGTGTGTGTCTCTGTGTGTGTGTCTGTCTGTGTGTGTCTGTGTGTGTGTCTGTGTGTGTGTCTGTGTGTGTGTGTCTGTGTGTGTGTCTGTGTGTGTGTGTCTGTGTGTGTGTGTCTGTGTGTGTGTCTGTGTATAGTGATTGTGTGTTTGTATAGTGATTGTGTGTGTGTGTCTGTGTGTGTGTGTATAGTGAGTGTGTGTGTGTGTATAGTGATGGTGTGTGTGTGTCTGTGTGTGTGTAGTGATTGTGTGGGGAGCGGTGGTGTAGCGGTTAGCGCGCTGCGCTACGAACCTGACGACCCGGTTCGATTACCCGCTCACGGCCAACACCGAATGAACCTCAAATGAGTACCTGGTGCGATGTGGTATAAACATCGCCACTGGGGAGACAAAGGCGGCCGGGCGTGGTGCTGGCCACCCACCCCTTCGTGTGCCGTGGCGGCCTTCATAGGGGCTCGCTAACAGCACTTGCCCCAACAGTCTGTTAAAGGCTACACGGGGGATCTTTGTATTTTTTACATATATAGTGCATGCATATATTATACATATACACGCGTGTTGTTCTGCCGATACACGGTGACACTGGTGCGTGTGCTTTGGAGGGTTGGTGGGTGAGAACATACAAACTCCACGCTCAGAGACACAGAACCACCCTCCCGTCACCACGTGTCGCCTCTCTAGCGACTTCTGAGTGCGGGCACGGCACACGAGGGGGTTGGGTGGCCAGCACAACGCCCACCACTCTTTACAGACCAACAACAACAAACAACAACATCAACATCAGCCACCGCCGCCGCCATTCTGTTGTGGTAACATCACCACGGCGCCTGTGCCAGGCTAGGTGCACTTTGACGCCACGTGAAGTGTCGAAGGAGGTCACGGGGACAGACCCCAGGTGCCGTGGGTTGACTGGCTGCTGAGATGACTGATGCACCGTCTGTGCTCCCCACTTTGCCAAACTGCTGTGTTTTATCCGCCCGGCGCTCCGCTCGTTGTTGTGAGCTTCGCTCCTCCGTTGTTGTTGGAGGGCGACTGCCTCCAACTGCCCAGTAGCTACTTCCTTCACGAGCCTCCTCCACAGAGGCCGATCTTGACACCGCTGTTACCAGTCATCGGCAAGTCCACTCAGCTCCACATCCTCCTGTACCGCATCACTCCATCTCTTCTCCAGACCGTGCCGAGCGCGTTTAGCTCCCCTCTACCCGGCCAAACAGAAGCCGATTGAGCTCGCGGTGGCTGGACATGCGGGCTACATGACCCTAGCCAACGCAGGCTCGCCTGCCGGAGGAGCTCACTGATGATGGGACCGTGTCCAGATCTCTCAAGCATGTGTGGTGAGCTCTTCACACAACCCAGCCTCGTTAAACCAGCCTGGTTTTCCAGGGCAGCCTCAACGTTTCTAACCGGCGCAGGTTGTTCCTTTAGAGACGGTCCACATTTCGCAAGCAGCAGAGGTCGCAAACGGGTTTTGATTCCTTACCCGTACCCGTACCCGGCCGCACCAGGGTCGCAAATGGGTACCCGTACCCAGCCGGGTACCCGTTCCCTACCCGTACCCTACCCGAAATGAGTGACAAACGGTGACTCACCAGTGACCCACGGTCTACCCGTACCCGGCCGCACCAGGGTCGCAAACGGGTACCCGTACCCGTATCCGGCCGGGTACGGGTAGCCGGGTATCGGGTAGGGTACGGGTATCGGGTACCCGGTTGCGACCTCTGGCAAGCAGTAGAGAAAGCGAGGGCACGACTGTGGCCGAGAAGACCCGAAGCTTCGTTTGGAGCCACAGGCCAGGTAGCTTCCGCACAGCAGCGTTACGCAGCCGTTGAAAAGACACAATGCCGCTCCACTGATCTCCACTCTATCCACAACTGCCCCACCGCGCAAGGCAAAGATCCCCCGTGTAGCCTTAACAGACTGTTGGGGCAAGTGCTGCTAGCGAGTAGCACCTATGAAGGTCGGCACGACACACGAGGGCGTGGCTGGCCGGCATCACGCCCGGCCGCCTTTGTCTCCCCAGTGGCGATGTTTACACACCGCACCAGCTACTCATTTGTGAGGCTGAGTCGACCCAGGGGAGGCCCAGGAGCGGTTCAAATAATCGTCACCGGTGTTGGGCGTGAGCGGGAATCGAACTCGGGGTCCGCCGGGTTCGTAGCGCAGCGTAGCGCTAACCGCTGCGCCACCGCTCTCCCCACGTAGACACACACACGCCGAGAGAGAGACGCGTTCACGCAAACACTCGGCACCGGGACACGCGTTGTCTCAGTGCGATGGGGACTCACGCTCCTCTTGGCTGTCTTCCCAGGCATCGTGGAGACACGGCCGAGACACGGAGACACAGAGACGCCGACTCTTCGTCGATGGGCGAAGCCTTGTCTGTCTGTCTGTCTATCTGCCGCGGGTGGCTGTCCGCGTGCTATGCGTAGGAATGACAGCCAGGCCACGCTGTCGTCATGTGTCTATGGATGATTTGTCTATGTACTCGTGACTGGAGCACCTCGTCAACTCGGCGATGTCTATGTGCGTGTGTCTCTGTGCGTGATGTCTCTGTGCGTGTGTCTCTGTGCGTGATGTGTCTGTGCGTGATGTCTCTGTGCGTGTGTCTATGTGCGTGATGTGTCTGTGCGTGTGTCTCTGTGCGTGATGTCTCTGTGCGTGATGTCTCTGTGTCTCTGTGCGTGTGTCTCTGTGTCTATGTGCGTGTGTCTCTGTGCGTGATGTCTTTGTGCGTGTGTCTCTGTGCGTGATGTCTTTGTGCGTGTATCTCTGTGCGTGATGTCTCTGTGCGTGTGTCTCTGTGCGTGTGTCTCTGTGTCTATGTGCGTGTGTCTCTGTGCGTGATGTCTTTGTGCGTGTGTCTATGTGCGTGATGTCTCTGTGCGTGTGTCTCTGTGCGTGTGTCTCTGTGCGTGTGTCTCTGTGTCTATGTGCGTGTGTCTCTGTGTCTATGTGCGTGATGTGTCTGTGCGTGATGTCTATGTGCGTGTGTCTCTGTGCGTGATGTCTCTGTGCGTGTGTCTCTGTGCGTGATGTCTCTGTGCGTGTGTCTCTGTGCGTGTGTCTCTGTGTCTATGTTCACATGTGCGTGTGTCTCTGTGCGTGTGTCTCTGTGCGTGATGTCTCTGTGCGTGTGTCTCTGTGTCTATGTTCACATGTGCGTGGCAGTAGCAATCCTCGTGTCGATTTCAATGTCTCTGTGTGAGCGCGTGTGTCTATGTGTGTTCGTGTCCATGTGCACACTAATCGATGTGCTTGTCTTTCTGTCTGAGTCTACGTGCCCAAATATCTGCGCGCGTGTGTGTGTATTGTGTGTGTCAATGTGTCTCTTATCTGTGTTGCCAAATATCTATGTGTGTGTCTTTATGCCTGTATCTATGTGTCTATGTGTGTATGTCTCTTAGTCTTTGTGTCTGTGTGTGTGTCCACTCTGTGTGTGTCTCTGTGTGTGTCTGTGTGTGTGTGTTCACTCTGTGTGTGTCTCTGTGTGTGTCTGTGTGTGTTCACTCTGTATGTGTGTCTGTGTGTGTGTTCACTGTGTGTGTGTGTTCACTCTGTGTGTGTGTATGTGTGTGTCTGTGTGTGTGTGTTCACTCTGTGTGTGTCTCTGTGTGTGTCTGTGTGTGTGTGTGTCCACTCTGTGGGTGTTCACTGTGTGTGTGTGTGTTCACTGTGTGTGTTCACTGTGTGTGTGTCCACTCTGTGTGTGTTCACTCTGTGTGTGTCCACTGTGTGTGTGTCTTTGTGTGTGTGTGTGTTCACTCTGTGTGTGTGTCCTCTCTGTGTGTGTGTCCTCTCTCTCTCTGTGTGTTCACTCTGTGTGCGCACGCTCTGTGTGCGTGCGCGTTCACGCGGTAGCTTGCAGAGCGCACGGTGCACACACCACAACCCCCACACACAGCACACACACAGCAGCACACACACACAGCACACACACAGCACACACACAGCAGCTCACTCTCTCTCTGTCTTGACTGCGATTGCTGCAACCGACTGGACACGCGCGCGCAGCACGGCGAGTTTATAAGGGTCGCGTGTGACTGACCCACCTCTCACTCCCTCCCTCCCTCCCACTTCACTGTGACTCCCATCACTGCTCACAGATCCCACGTCAACCCCCCACCCCCTCCCCATTCGAATCGATACGACGGGGACCTCAATGCTGCCAGCGGTATTAAGTTTGATGCAAAATTTCAGGGCGGGGGCGCCGTGTTTTTGGGTTATTTTCTGAGCGGTGAGGGCGATAAGAACAACACCTGCAGGGTAAGCGATCAGAGCTGGGGGGGGGGGGGGGGTAAAGGCCAGTTTACTCACTCACTCACTTGCTCACCCACCCACCTACTCACTCAGCCACTCACAAACTCACTCAGCCACTCACCCACCCACTCATTCACCCGCCTAACCACCCAGTCACTCAGCCACATATTCACCCACTCAGCCACCTACTCACGCACCCACCTACCTATTCGCCCACTCACCCACTCACTCATCCACTCACCCACCTACTCACTCACTCACCCACTCACCCACCTACTCACTCACTCACCCACCCACTAAAATACTCACTCACCCTCTCGCTCACTCACTCGCTCAGAAGCTGAAGGGCAAAAGGCCAGAGCTGGGGGGGAAAGGCCAGTTTACTCAATCACTCACTCACTCGCTCACCCATCCACTCACTCACCCCCCTACTCACCCACTCACTCATTTACTCACTCACCCACTCACTCACCCGCCCACGCACGCGACTACTCAATCACCCACCCACTCATTCACCCACGACTCACTCCCCCACCCACTCACTCACCCACCTACTCACTCACTCGCCCACCCACTCAACTACTCACCCACCCACCCACTCACTCACCCACCTACTCACTCACTCGCCCACCCACTCAACTACTCACCCACCCACTCACTCACCCCCCTACTCACCCACTCACTCATTTACTCACTCACCCACTCACTCACCCCCCTACTCACCCACTCACTCATTTACTCACTCACCCACTCACTCACCCGCCCACGCACGCGACTACTCAATCACCCACCCACTCATTCACCCACGACTCACTCACCCACCCACTCACTCACCCACCTACTCACTCACTCGCCCACCCACTCAACTACTCACCCACCCACCCACTCACTCACCCACCTACTCACTCACTCGCCCACCCACTCAACTACTCACCCATCCACTCACTCACCCCCTACTCACCCACTCACTCATTTACTCACTCACCCACTCACTCACCCGCCCACGCACGCGACTACTCAATCACCCACCCACTCATTCACCCACGACTCACTCACCCACCCACTCACTCACCCACCTACGCACTAACTCGCCCACCCACTCAACTACTCACTCACCCACCCACTCACTCACCCACCTACTCACTCACTCGCCCACCCACTCAACTACTCACCCATCCACTCACTCACCCCCCTACTCACCCACTCACTCATTTACTCACTCACCCAATCACTCACCCGCCCACGCACTCGACTACTCAATCACCCACCCACTCATTCACCCACGACTCACTCACCCACCCACTCACTCACCCACCTACTCATTAACTCGCCCACCCACTCAACTACTCACTCACCCACCCACTCACTCACCCACCTACTCACTCACTCGCCCACCCACTCAACTACTCACCCATCCACTCACTCACCCCCCTACTCACCCACTCACTCATTTACTCACTCACCCACTCACTCACCCGCCCACGCACGCGACTACTCAATCACCCACCCACTCATTCACCCACGACTCACTCACCCACCCACTCACTCACCCACCTACTCACTAACTCGCCCACCCACTCAACTACTCACTCACCCACCCACTCACTCACCCACCTACTCACTCACTCGCCCACCCACTCAACTACTCACCCATCCACTCACTCACCCCCCTACTCACCCACTCACTCATTTACTCACTCCACCACTCACTCACCCGCCCACGCACGCGACTACTCAATCACCCACCCACTCATTCACCCACGACTCACTCACCCACCCACTCACTCACCCACCTACTCACTAACTCGCCCACCCACTCAACTACTCACTCACCCACCCACTCACTCACCCACCTACTCACTCACTCGCCCACCCACTCAACTACTCACCCATCCACTCACTCACCCCCCTACTCACCCACTCACTCATTTA